CCACCGCCCGCGTGCCCCCCGGAGAGCCTGCTCGTGCCTGTCCAGCCCACGGACCCCTGTGGGGCCATCACCCTGACACGAGGGCTTGGGGAGCACAGGGCCGCAGCAGTGCAGACTCGGGTTGCCAGCCCCCCACGGGCAGTGAGCCATCCAGCATCAGCTTCCTCACGTGAAACATCCACACGCCCAGCCAGGCGGGTGTCAGGGCAACGCAAACCATTTGGGTGAATGCTCTCAGGTGTCTTCCGTGACAGTTTTGCAAAAGATTTGTAAGTTCCTCTAGGAAAATACCATTGCACCCACACCACTGCGTCTGACCCCGGCAGCCCTGGGACTGCGGCAGGAGCCGCCGCGGGCTCAGCATCACCCGACAGCCGCAGGGGTCAGCACTCCCAGACCCCACAGGAGGCCTTTCCGCCACATGGCAGTGCTGTGCTCCCCGGCCAGAGCGGGAGGACCGGGGCTTGCACCTGGAGCGGGACCAGGGGCGGCTGGCGTCCCGAGCGCCAGGGGAGTGGCATTACCACTTTGGAGAACCCGAGCCTGGCTGCCGGGCACCTGGGGCCTATGCCGCTCGCTGGTCCAAGACACTGGAAAGGCACAGGGAAGGCGTGAGGCTGCCAGCCCCTGGGTCCCGGGGCCCCGCCAGGAGGCAGGTGGGTAACATCGGCGAGATGAGGGGCACCGACAGCCCCAACCCAGGCCCTGAGCACAGCCTCAGCGGGACTGTGTGCCCCAGTCCAGAAGGTTCTACCTCCTAGACCTCGGCTGAGAAACGGGACTGGGAACCGCTACCCGCCTTCCCCAGGCTCCAGGGGCTGCTGGCCTTTTGCTGGTTAAGCCCTCGGGCCTCAGTTTCCCGCCCGCTGCGGGGTGGCCGAGCTGATCAAAGGCTAACATGACTGGTTAACAGAGAGCAGAAGAGCTGCACCGGGCCGCCCGGGAGAGACGCCGTGTCCGACAGCGGGATGTCAGACGGCGGGATGTCGGACAGCGGGCTGTCGCTGTGGGAAGTAGGGACGCCCCTGTCCCGGCCCGTTTTGCTCAGTGTCAGAGCGTCGGCCCAGGGACCAAAGGGTCACTGGCTCGATTCTGGGTCAGGGCACAGGCCCGGGTTGCGGGCTTGAGCCCGTCAGGGCCATACAGGAGGCAGCCGATCGATGATTCTTTCATCACTGATGTTTCTCTCTCCCCCTCTCCCTTCCTCTCTGAAATCAATAAAAATACCTATCTTTTAAATCAATGGAAAAATATTCTTGGGTGAAGATTAACGAAACAAAAAAAGTGAGGCCCTCACAGGGGTCATGACCCAGCTTGAATGGGTCTTAGGAGTCCGACACCAGCGCACAGAACAGCCCCTGCGAGGACCTAGGAGCCGGGAGCCTCAGGGACCAGCCCTGCAGGCGGGGGGTGAGCTGGGTGGCCTGAGCCACCCCACAGCCTCCCCTCCCCCCACCCACCC